GAAACGAAAATTGCAGAGCTGGTTGAATGAAAATCAATTCAGGCCTAATTTAAGAAGCTTCTGGGGGTAAAAATGCTGAGTTTACAAACCGAAATAGAAAATGACCACTGTCACATTGCAGTTTAAAAAAAAAAATGATTGATTCTTTTCTCCCCATCATTTCCGTGGTCAGGGAACATTGGTGAGCGCAAGCAGCAGTGACCTTTATCCCTTTGTCTCGGTGTTCTATCAAGGTCAAGGACAAAGGCTCAACACGCCTAGCATCTTCAGCCTCCCCGAGGTGATGAGCAGCATTTCTGAGCAGGATGGTGTAAGGTGTTTCATGAATCACACACATGTGCACACATGCACATCCAGAGACCAAGTGAAAGAATAAGAAAGAGGTGGTTAAGACCTTCTGCCTCAATTAAGAACAAGAATGGAGAGGGACAGGCTGAAGACATGGCTTGGTGATAGATCACTTGACTTGCATGCTCAAGGACCTGGGTTCAAATCCACGCATCATCAAATAAAGAGAGTTGGGGCTGAGAACACATGAATCATCATTTTTTCATTATCAGAAGCAACCTGATATGATGTTTGGGAGTTTTGAGAAGAAAGTCTGTCCTATTGATGCTGTAGTTTCCAACCTAATTATCATACACTTGCTCCAAAAAGTTTTGTTCATGTTTATCCCTCCTCCAGTGAGAACAGCATCTCGGAGTCACATTAGGTGAAGATAACCATTCTGACATTACCTAAGCCAGCCTGTTTCTCGCCTCTTAGCGTAGAACACCTCTGCTTGTATCCATCACTACCTGAGTTCAGTTTCAGTTGTCACAAACAACTGTTGCCCGGGCAGCTCACAACTTTCAGGTGTTTTATCTGTCTATTCTACTGGTTTTCTTCGGAAGTGAGGGCACTGCTCTCGCTTCAAATTCTGCTCTGTAGTGCAAACACACTGTCTGGTTGGTCTTCAGAGGCAGGGGTGGGGCAAACAATTGGCTAAACACATTTAATTCTTTTATGCTATCTCAATACAACCGGCCACTGCGAAGAGCTGATGAAAACTTTCAATATTTGAAAATTTTAAAATCTCATATGCATGTAAAGTCAATGAATACTGTCTGCATCCTGGTCCGTGAAAAGGAGAAAACGATTGGTCAAATTAAGAATACATTGGGAGATCTGCAACTTCTATTTGTGTGTGTATATATGTATGTATATATATATATATATTTAGTTAACAACAAGAAACAGCTTCCAAAAGGCTATTGAAATTTCTTGCATTTCAAGTAGATGAAGCAACTCTAACTTCCTACAGACTTGTGTCCATGCAAGAGGCACTTTTGCAGCTAAATGCTGGACTGGTGAATAAATCACTCTCAGACTACACCTAAGTTAGACTTCCACTTTTTTCATGTGTCTAAGCTTGGGCTTCCACATGAATGTGAATACTTTTATTTTCTCCACTCTCCACCCTTAAAGGATCTTTATTAGAATAAAGCCATGCTGAAAGCTGCAGCCCTACTTTCCACAATCATGTTGACTTCGCTAGTTTGTCCCTACACCCAAATATAAATGACAGTCATTATGCACACTTGAAAATACTGATTAGTCATAATCATTCCTATGATGGATGGATGAACTACAAATTAAACTCTCGAACTTGTAAGTAAAGGGTATTAAATTACCCTTTAAAATTTCAACCAGAAAATCAATTACATTGTATTAATGCAGAGATTCTCAGTCACCCATATAACCACCAACTCTGAGGAGGGAAGGAGACTTAACTCTCATATTTATTAGTATGCAAAGCAAGAGTTCCCAAGCAAACGGACCCGTGACACATAACGTGTGTTAAACACACTCTATGAATGGAAAAGCCAGGTTTCCTGATGAGCATATGACCATAGCACTGGTGGGATTTTGTTGACGGGGAGGAAGGCTGTGAGATGTTTTCGCAGCTCTCCTCCAATAGACTGGCCCTTATTGGAGATGTGAGGCCAGGGAACAACTTTAATCACTGCCATGAATTCAAATAAAGGGAGAGAAAAGAAAACTCACATGAAAATGAAATTGAAAACTCAAATGAAATTGAAAACTAGGAAGCATTATGAGGAACCCAGAGACCTACAAGGAAGCACCTTACAAGTGAGAATTTCGTTATGGGAAAGTCAACAAATGCTGACAGTAACAGCCAATCAATCTGTTTGCAAGTTGTAAGCAGCTACGTATGAAACGTGTTCCTGCAGTGCTTCAACGCATCTATGTCAGCTGGGGCTGCTGAGAGCTGTCGTGCAGATCTGCAATAGCCTGCTCCCACTGGTTTCCTTCCGTCCACTTCCCTTGTGGCAGTAAATGGGAATTAGAGAAAGAAAGAAAGAAGCTAGGTCTTGGCATCCCTTACTACTAGATGCGTATTCCTTGCAAGGGCCTGCTGTGTTCCACTGTATAGCTCAACCTGGCTTCCCGCCGCGTTCCCTCACATTCATTCTTTCCAGCCACATCAGTTTATTCCTGTTCCTGAGCTCTGTTGCACTCACGATCACCACTTAGGAGTCTACCATTGAGAACTTCATCTCTAGTCTGCTTCCTCTGGGCTCAACTCAAGGGTTAACATCTCCCCACACCCCAGTTTGAAATGGAAACTCCCAACACTAATCAATGCCCGACACACACACTTCTCCAGGTTCCATTTCTACTTTACTATTTTTCATCATTGAGGTATACATGTGTGTGTGTGTGCATGTGTGTGTGTGCATGTGTGTGGTGTACACGCATATATAAACATGTATAAATACATATGTACCATATCTTCCTTTCATTCTCACCATTGACTACTCTTACCTCCTCTACCGAAATACACTCATAGGGCCGCAGAGGACTTTTTGCTCATAGCAAGTGCTTCATTAAACCCCCTCTAATTACTGCTGATTTTTTGCTAGTATGCCACCCACTGAGCTCTAATTCAGTGTAACCTTTTTAATTATAATTTGTCTCTCATGGAGTCTGCCTGTAAGGCAAAAACTCTTTATTGGCAAACCTAAAAAAAATAATAAGAAAGAAAGATATATCGTGATTTGTTTGATAGGGTATTGTAAATTGGAAGACTAATATTTTGTGTGTGCGTCTTGTTATGTGAACTAGAAAGCTGTCTTCTCCTGGGAGTGGTCTGCTCGGTGATAGGCAGAGCAACAAAAGCAGCCCCTTAGGTGGCATTTTGATAGTCAGGTATCATTATACTACATCATGTCATTGTATCCCCAGTTACCTATAAGTACAAATGAAGATCTTAATTCATTGAAAATAGAACTTTTTTTTTTTTTTGGCAGAGATCTATTTTCCCCCACTGCCTTTGATTTAAACATCATCAAGATTTCCATTGTTAAAATTTTGCAGCGACAAAGCCACTTTAAGCCTGAACACATATGGAGACGTCAAAGGTCCAACTAATTGCCTCCATAAAGATGAAACCTCTTCGATCCTTATTCAAATTATTGCATATGATTGATAGCAAAAGACCTGAGCCGGTTCCAAGCAGTTGTCTGATGTTATACGCTACTTCATTACTGGCACCTGAAATCAAATTAAGGCCAGGATTCCTATCAGGTACAATATAGAGTGATGCCATCTCTGGGAAGTTGAGATCCCTCCCAAGGAGGAAAGGTCATCTCCAGGCAAACTGCAGCATATTTCACTGAAAACGTTGAGGACAATTTCAGCCTTCTCAATTTCCAAGAATAGTAAGGCTATTTCCAAGCCACTGACAGATTTTAAATTGCAGTCTTTTTTGTTGTGACCATCTCTCATTTTTTTTTAAATTCAAGAGATATCTATGTTCGCTTCCTGACTGAGCTTACAGTATGACATTAAGAGAAAAGTTATATATTCCTGCTCAGGTGTACTTTGTTGTTTTTATACTCTAAGCCAACTGAGTGACCACAAGCTTGCGAGGAGACTGTCTACTAGAGTACTTCAGTTGCGGAAGCTAGTCATTACATTTGTTTTCAGGGGAAAAATAAATAATGGAAATAATGAGGACATAAATTTATTAGAAGACCGAAATGTGTCTTTGTCAGATATGTCACGAGCAAGCTCATCCCTTTCAGTGGAAGGGTGCTAATAACATTGTTAGGCAACAGAAGGTGTAAGCAGGAAGCTGATGAATTCTGTTCTAATTATAGCCGTTGAAGATGTCTGGAGTATAATTTCTGATAATTCATCATTTATCCTGCCTCATCGTGTCTCTGGGTCTTTGTTTACATTAAAATGTATGAGTTGGGATCAAATAAAAGATAATCCTTGAACTTCACGGTTCGTAACTTCTGCAAAGTAATTAGCAAAGAAGCCAAGGAAAATTAAACACATGGAGAGGAATTCCAGTCTGGCGACTTGCAAGTGTTGAGTCAATGGACATTGGGGGAGACACTATAAAGGAAGGTATCAGGAGAGAGCTGGGAAAAAAATGGGCAAAGTAGAAAAGAAGCTGTTGAAGCTGAGTACCGTCTTTCTTTTTTCTTTCCTACCATCCGCCTAGTTTGGGTGCTAATTGTACAGGTTGAGAAACATCAGCAGTTGGCACTGGCTGGCATTACAAGGGCCTTTCATTTCTGGGAGGAAAGAAATAAACATTTCCAAGGTCATACTAAAAGCCCCAAATGTAATATACAAACTTTAACAAATCATGTGGCCTCTATATATTAAGGAGGTAAGTATGAAGAATGAGGATATTGTCGCAGAGATATTTAAGTCTCTTAACCTCTCTCTCTCTCTATCTCTTTCTCTCTCTCTCTTTAGGATAGGGATAATACCTATTGCATGAGTAGGTTATTAGGAAGGAGAAGGAATGGGGTACCTGGCACAGACTGGAATCTGGGTTTTCAATAATTACTGCTCGTTTTTGCTACTAGCTCTTTGTCATCATTTTTCAGGTTGGGATTACTTTATAGTCACTCATCGCTGGACATGCCGCATACGTTCAATGTTTTACTTTTTATTTTTTTGAAAAAGCAACCTACCCACGAAGAGCTGACTGTTGAGCTGTAGGAGGACATGGCCATCGGTGGGAGCAGCCTGTATCTTTGGCAAGAACTCATCCACCTGAAGTGATGCCTCTTTCATGTTCCTTTCGACTCTCACGTGATGCCACTGGTTGTCATTGAAGTGCGTGGGTGACTGCACCGAGATCTCGAAAGGTCCATTTCCCACGTCAAATGAGAAGGTTACTGTTGTGGGTGCTGGAGATAGCAGAAGTGAGGGTTTTCCAGGTGAGTATCCAATGCACTTAAGACAACACCACCCAGCAATCATCAGACACAAGGGAACAATGGCATCCAAATAGATATAACTCTCCTGATGTGGAAGGACACAGTAAGACACATTTTGAGGTGAAATTACAGATTTTTAAAAGTTCACCCTCTGACTAATTTTTCATATTGATAAAGATTAAGACTATTTAGAGAGCACAAAACTAGCATCTGTAATTGATTATACAAAATAAGTGCTTCATTGATTCAAAGTTTATATAATTTAACAGCATGAAACATGCATTTGATATTGTGCTATTAATAGAAGACTGAATATATCAAAATAATAAGTGGTTCATTAAATAATTTTGTAATTAATATTAGTCATTAACTGAAAATTTGTCTTAAATTTTAATTACTTCAATTTAAAAACTTTTTTCCACTGCTAATGAATTTATCAATATTTTTACTGAATTATCACTTAAATTATTTTCTTGCAAAGCAGATCTTTTCCCCAAGAGGTATGAGCTTCTAAGTGTCAACTGAAGAATTCAGGACTAAATGAAAGTATTTCAAGACTTGGAAAGGACACTTACACCGTAGTTCTATCCGTATGAAGTCGGTGATTCCCAGGTTCTCTAGAAACACCCCAGATTGGGCTGTGGTCTTGAAAAAGAAGGACACATCAGCACTGAGCTCCCCATGGAATGTGGGGAAGTGGAGGTAGGAAGCCTCAGTATTAAAGAAAGCTGCATTCCAAAATGGCCCTGTTTCAAAAACCACAAAAAAGAACAAATTCATGCCATACAAAGAATACTGTAACCGTAATTGTCATTTTTCCACTTAGCATTGTGCCTGTTTAAAAAAAAAATCACAAATTTCGTATAAAACCACTTCCCTTGCCATGTACAGAGGACAGGCCCAGGGTGAGAGCCTCTCCAATGGCTGAAGCCCTGGATTCTTTCCAGCCTACAAGTTCATACAGAAATGCCCCCCAAACAAGAAAACACACTTGCACCCAAAAGCCTACCCTCGGTTAAAGTGATACATAAAGAATCTGCTAAACCTTGACTAATTACAGAACACTTTTGCATCTTGAAAGTTTAAACACCTGGTTACTTTGACTCAAAAAATTTCTATAGCGGATCCTCGCAACCGGCTCTTCCTCCCATTGACGACCTTGCCAATCTCACCCTGAGACTGGCCTTCTACAGTCTCCGTTAGTTAAGGACCCAAACACACTTTGTGTATGCAGCACGACTGTTGTTAGAAAAAAGATTCTTTCACTCAGAAGCCATTCCTTTCCTCGCTCATAACGGGGGGGGGGGTAAATGAAGAAACTTTCTCTAAACGCTTACAAATACTCAATACGAGAAAGAGGTGGGAAACGTGAGAGGGTTTGGAACATCAGTTTAGAGACGGAGGAAACAAACCAACTTGTATGGGTTGGAGAAGTGAATCAGTAGTTTAGGCTGCGCATTCATCTTGCAAAGGACCCAAATTTGGTTCCATCCCCCCACATCATGGAGCTCATAACCGCCCTGTAACTCCAGCTTCAGGATATCCAAGTGTCTTTTTCTGGCCTCCATAGGTACCTCGACTCAGCCCAACCCATCCCTCCCCTCAACATACAGACATGTAATGAGACCTAGAAATAAATCTTTAAAAAAACGAAGTTAATTATATTTTCTGTCTAAACGCAGCGCATTCATCTTCACTTTCTTTGGTGGATATGCGCAACTTTTCTTTAGAAAAAAATATTTGACTGATATGTAGGAAGAAATATGGAAAATGAAATATAAATTCAAAGGCAGAGCCGCCAGGATGAAATCCAGCTGGATATATTGAGCTGATATGGAGAATTATCCAGAAAAAAAAAATGAGTTATGTGCCTCAGCTGCCGCCGGCAGTTCTCAGTTCATCAGCTAGAACTAGGCATCCTTGGTGAGAAGCCACTCCACCCACCCTCTCATCAAGGATTAACATCCTCCTAGCTAAATTACCTTCCTCCAGGAAGGATAGCCTGGTCCTCCCGAGTCAGAAACTGTTGTTCTAAAGAAAGACTTCATGATGTTAGCAAAGAGCAGAGATCCCGCTACTTGGAAGTCACAGACATGACTGTCTCCACCTGCCCTTGAAATGTTCTCTTCTCCGTTGACGCTGGGAAGAACAGCACACAAGTCTACTATTTGTTTCTCTGTTTTGTTTCTGTTTTTCATGTGGGTTTGACTCAAAAGTCAAATTTCTGTTGCATGTGGACAATTTAAAACTGAGTTTACATAGTTGGGGAAAAACGTAGTCAGTGAGATCTCACCACGTCCCTCTAGCTAAGCCATCTTACACGTTATCTGAGTTCTGTCTAGGCTCTGTCTTGCATCCTTTCGATAGTTACATCTGTATATTAGACCCTTGGATCTTAGTCTATGAAAATATGCACAAAATGAAAAATGTCAACTTAGGGATAAAAGTACATCTGTGCCCTTTAACGTGCTAACCGGATCTCCTTTTACAAGGGGTGACATGCCTTTCTCTTAAAATGCTAGATATAAGGTCAAAATAAATATGTAACTTTAAATTATGGGATCCTACTAAATATGATCTCATGTGCTTAGGAAGGGAATGATCAGGACTCAGGCTTAAATTATGTAATATATTTTTATATTATATATTATAAAATCAAGGTTTTGTTTGTTACCTATTGTATTTATAACTAACCCAATAGAGCTTCATATGGAAGACTTCAGGGAATGGTTGAAACTGAAGGACAGTCTTTGAATTGATTCCCTCTATGCAGTAAGTGCTCTCAGGCTATTGAAAACAATTTATTGCTTTAGGAAGCTAAAACACTCTTACACACACAATAATACATTTTGCTTAGTTAGGAAACCCCACTTTACAAATTCACAATAGGTGGAGAATGAGGAAAGAACCTTTCATGAGATTAAGAAATTACTGCTAATTCAAGACAATTACAAAGAAAGCCAAGGCCACTGTGAATATTGACGGGATGGTGTGCAGTGGCGTGTGAAGCCTCATCTCCGTATGTCCTGTGCTCCCAAGAGAATCTGGGTAGTCTAAGAGAAGGGAGGAGAGGTAGAGATCTGTAGCAATAGCAGTAAATTGTAAATCCTTGCAAGAGGATTCTGTAAAGAAGGGGGTTGGAGAGTCCCTACGCTGCCCAGGAGCAGATCTAGAACACTGCATCATTTATTGCCAGGCAAGTAAGATGCTCTCTTTAATCATTTCAATGAAAACACATCATGAATGGCTAGACTGTAGAGATGAACCAGTCAGTAAAACACTTGCCATGTAAGCACAAGGGCCTGAGTTCGGATTCTCAGCACCCGTGTATTAAATTCTGGTGTGACAGCATGCTTCTGTAATTCCAGGGCTAGGATGGGGGAGATAAGTGAGCTTCAGGTTCAGTGAGAGACACCTTCTTCTCAGACAACAAGGTGGAGAGCGGCTGAGAAAGTCACCTGATGTCAACCTCTGGTCTCTGTGTGCATGCGCGCACACAAGCATAAATGGATACGCACAAACGACACATCAAGATGCATTATTCTATAATATTAATACTTAGTGATAATTAGCTAAATAGTAATTAAATATAACCTAACTAAAACGATGTGAATCAGAGAAAAAATTAAGTTCTTTTAAATTTTCATAACTATACAATATGTATATGTCTGTAAAGGTATATGTATCCATTCTAAATCAGAGTCAATGTACTTATTTATGCAAAAGAACATGTAATAAGTATTTGATTTCACGTGTAAACATTTTTATAAAGCCCCTTAAGGAATTAGAATTTAGCACTATTTAACACTAAGTGTAGTTTAAAAAGTTACTAAGCATAAGTAGAATAGCTTTTTAAAAAGAATTCTTGAAAAAGTAATATTTTTCTTAGGATTATTGAAATGAAATTGAGGGAAGTGAGTGATAAGAATTCTTTCTTAAAAGTAATATATATATATATAATATTAAAATATTGATGAGAAGTATTTTACCAGTCAATTGTGTCTTCTAAACATTTATGAGCCATTAAAATTAGCTTAAAAATATAGATTTCTTAACAGAAATGAAACACTAAGATTAATTACATCTTGTTTCATTGGAATACAAAAAACCGAAGTATTGGTTTAATAATTCACTGGTGCCTCTTTTTAGCACTTCTGTATTATTTTCAACAATTTATGAACCCCCATTGAAATCTGTATATGTAAAAATGAGGGTGGAACAAATGAAATCTGGCTGGGAAGAATCACAGTGTGTGGGTGATAGACCAGTTAAAAAGGGAGCAATGTTATTCATGGGTGTTTGCATACAGTAAAATATCCCTGCTGTCCCCGCCAACATGTTCAAAATAGTTGGCATGATTTTTACCTCTTACAAAAGCAAAGCAGAGATTGCCTTTGCCATCAAAGTGCTTTTACAAATAATCTGAAGCCTATGTTTTTTATTATTCTTATAATAATTTTATAATTTTATGCAAAAGTGGATATCAGTAACAAAGGGAAAGACACACACATACATATTATTTAATTTTTCAATGACATACAAACTTAATTTGCAAGAGGCTGGAAAAATCCAATTTGCGTTGGGAAAGTGTGCATATATGTATTTCTGTGTGTGTGCATGGCCACAAACAAGCATACATACACATATGGCCAAGAGTCAACCTCGGCTGTCATTCTCCAGGATCTGCCCACTTTGTTTTTGAAACAAGATCTCTCATTGCAGGCAGGACCCCTGAAGCTCATTGACCAAACTAAGTAAGAGATTGTCTGGCCAGCAAGTCCCAGGTGTCTACCCATCTCTGCCCCTACAGGACTTTTGTGGGTGTTGGAACTGAACTAAATTGCCTGCACCTGTACAGCAAACATTTTCTGACTGAGCTATCTCCCCAGCCCCAGGAATGATTTTTTCTTCTTTTTTATTCAAATAATACTTTTTATTTACTTTACATACCAACCAGTTTCTACTTCTTCCCCTTACTCATCTACCCCCTCCCCATCCACTCCTCCTTCAACTCCATTCACAAAGAATGAAATTTTGATGTAAGCAACCAACTACCTTCATTCTAGGTATAAGAGGGTGTGTAAAATTGTGAACAAGGTTAGCAATGTTCATTTAAGTTTGTTTAAGTTTATTGTTGCTTATATGTCCTTCATTCCTATGAAGATCAGAGTGACAATGGAAAATGTATAAGGTTATGTGAGATACCAGAAAAAAAGATCTTTCCACAAGTCACATTCTCTTTTGTTTCAAGCAATTTATGTTGAACTATCCAATGACAACATTCTAGTATACAAAGGAGAACATATATCAAATGCAAAATATATCTCATCTACCCAATACTAATTCCCAACATTAACATCTATAATTTATACAGTAAGCTTTGAGTCCAGTTACTCATTTGAGAAAAAAAAAACATCAATCACTTATAACCAAACCTATTTCATGTTAAGTAACAAAATAGATATTTTGACAGAAGCACAATAAATAAGCATAAATTAACAACTTTCTATCAAGCAGATGCCAATAAAAAAGAAATTCTTTTACCCATACATTTAATGTCAGAAAATAGCTTCATATTCAGAATATTGCCTGAGAATATTGTTAAAATGTTTTAATCCTCTCATGGACTGTAAAAAGACCTCCTACCATCTTTCTGTAATTGCATAATACATACTTTATAGTAGACCACCACCATTTTTAAATTATCATACTTTGGTCCTTCAACCATTTATAGTCAGACACAACA